TCATCGGAATAAATCTATTTACTGCTTCCTGAAATCTGTTTCATATTAAAACAATTGCTCACAAAGCAAAGTTCGTGCATAGCAGGTCGCGAATTGCGCCTCTCCGACCCGGTCTGGTCGCCGTCGATGGACGTAATACACATGGCCTCGTCGTCATAAAACGTAATTTACGGTCTCGTTTCACTTGCTCGCAGCATACGCCTTTTGTGCCGTTACTGCGCTGGGTTTTCGAGATCAAATGATGAACGCTTTAACACGTGAACATTTGTTTTGAGAACAAATTATGTCAATACTGTAAACACTTTTTGGGATACGAGCAACTTTCGGTAACTTTGTTATTCTTCCGTTTAAAGTTCATTAGAAAAAAAATAAATTGATTTTTAGTTAGTTCAAAAGTTTAAAAAATTTGATTCCAATACATCAAAAGTTTAAACCTAGATACTAGGGCATTATAAATGACATGCAGGTTCTCTCAGAGACCTAACTTATGCGCATGCGTAAACTCAGGGTATCTAGACGCAGGTAAGGGGATGTCACCCTTGTTTTATTTACTCAGTTCGAAATAACATGTGCACGAGGGAACACTGCTGGTAATATTGCTTATTTTTTATTATTGATCAATTTGTTATTGAACAAATACTATGCAATTATATATTTATGTCATAATTATATGTAAGTTTCAGAATTTCTCCTGCTTAGCGATATGAAGTGCCGTAATGCCCAGCGAATTGCCGATTTTGCGAATTTGTAATGATTCTTTGTGTTTTGGATTTTGTTGTTATTAAAATACAATACTAATTATTTATATTACATATATACTATTTTAAATACCATTTCAAATACAATTCTTCTTTCACTGGAAAAATGTAATGTGTTTAAAAAGTGTAAATACAAAATAAAATTAACTTTTCTATTAAGTTATCTTCTTCTTCTTTAAAAGTAGAACTTACCAACTATCTCCTTTTTCATTCTTTAAAACAAATTGTTTTAGGGAATAAAAATATTTTGATTCACCTACATGTATTTTTTAAACCTATGTACCTTACAACTAGAATATAGTATAAATCACGTATTTAACTTTACTAGAGGACACAGAATATAAGCGTCGTTAGAGCGAAAACATGTTATTCAAACTCTTCTTACTTGAGCAATGTTCCTAAGTACAAAATCGATAGAGGGGTAGACGTCACATCAGCTGGTAGACGGGGCATCGATCCAGTCTAAGGGTACTACGTATAACTCGTATTTTTGTATACTTTGCAGTTTGACTCATATTTGAATATTAAGTCAACTTAATAGTCTTGCGTAGTTTGTATAGAGTGACATTAGTAACTCTAGGATATGGAAACATCCATCAGTATTTTTATTGATATATTGTATGTATTATGAATACTTATTTACTTTTTTTATAATATAATATAAAGTAATAATATTTAACAAAAAGGATAATTATAAAATAAATATCATTGCCTGAGTGATTAAAATGTAATTTTTTTTTTGTATTATATTTTTTATATTACGTAGTGTAAATAGAAAATGAAATAAAGAACAATCTACTTCTTTCTATTTTTTGAGTAGGCACGCAATATAAATTAGTTTTTATATATAGGTTTTTTTCTGCTTTTTTATTTGTCTACATTACATTTATTTTAATTAGCTACATATAGTTATATATTTTGTATATTATAATTAACAACATCGATACTATATTATATGGTGAATATAAACGAAAAATAAATTAAAGTAATCAATAAATTAAAATTTGTGGTGTGTAAACTATTTTTTTAAGAATGTATTTCTTATATACCAACTCACTTTTTCAAGTCGTTTGGTTTTTCCCTGTTAATAGACGATTTTGACTGACATGAAAAGGTAAAAAACATTTATTTGACTTGTACTTTTACTGAAAGGAAAGCTTGACATACAGTGATGTGCTTGACGTACATCAGCACATTACAATAGTGAGCTGAGTTTGAATTGTATAAATGTTTGGGACTCTTCATGTTTTGCTAATGGATTCTTACTTATATCTTTATCAAAGTTATCATATAATCATACGTTTCTTACTTAAAATTGGTTACTAAGTAAACCATAAAGCTCCCATCATATAAAATTTTAAAAAAGTTCTTCTATCTTTTTTTAATTACAACCTTTTAGTTTATATTTGTAATTGTGAAGTCTATATTAAGATAGTGAAATTGTACATGACTAGAAGTTTATTGGTTGAAGAGTTAAATGTCATTTCTTATATTAAATTTCATAATGTACATATACATATGAATATAATATTTATTATATCATATTCTTCGTACAAATCATGGAATATAGACGTACATAGTATAATGACTAAAACAGCCAAATAGGTTAGAAGTACATTAGGAAATTAAATGCATTGATACATTATTTTCTTAATAATAATTTAGGGCAAAAACTTTTAAGCTTTAAAAAACATAAACCATCTAATGATCTCACCTATGAAGCGTCGTACGGAAAGAAAAATTTATGATAATTTTTAACTTACATAATATAGAAAAATTACACTGCTTTCATATTAAAAAGATAAAACTTTTTATAATTCAATAGTTTACTCGGGTTCTATATGACTCATAATAATTATACCGAGGATGTTCTTATCGGCGGCGAATGTCATATGACACAAAGTTTGTTTGTAATTTATTAATCATGTTTCAGTTCTTACAACCGGTAATCAATTAACATGAAACTGTAAACGTTTAATTGCATACCAAAATTTAAGGCGAAACCGTTAAAACCTCAAAGCAAACAGAGCTGGCTCGTAAATGGTGATGAATGGAGGGTTCAAGATCAGGCAATGGTCTGCGCCCGCGCCGATGTACCGCCATATTGTGGGCGGAGCTTTTATAACGTCGCTGAGATCGCCCTCTCTTCTGGAAACGTCTCATAAATAACCTGTTAGAGCGAGAGGCTCAGTCTAAAACCTTAACTTTGTTCTAGATTTTACGGTTTTTTAAACAGAGTCAACACAGCACGTGTTTTTTATAATCTGTAAACGCTGTAAGTGCCATTATTATAAGATTGCTCAAAATGTCAGATATGTTTTAAACTTAAGAATTACAAAAGCAAAAGCATAATGGAAGCGTAAAGGTAAAACAGTACATAATGACAGGTTGATAAAAGATAACATTTATCAACATTTACAACCAGCGCGTGATAGAACTGATGTTTACTAGAGTTGAGGCGATTGTTTACAGCACAGATCAGCAACCCGGCGCGTCGGCACCACTGCTCTAGTATTTATAGACCGAGTCGATATTACAATATATGTATTTTTGACGGAGATTGCGTATAGATTTAATGATTGGTTAAATTTAAATTAAATATTTAAGTCTTCACTTTTGATGTTAGAACTTGGTGAAATGTTGCACACTTAAAAATATGCTTCAAATATGTACATATTTTGTTGTAAATGATATTTAAAAAAAGGCTGAAAAATAGAAAACATATCAAGTAACTTTTTAACATATACATGCTGATTTATAATATTTCAAGTGGTACGTTTATTACTTACTTATTATAGTAGTTAAACGAAAAAAAAAACTTAACAATAATTAAAGCAGTAAGACAAAACTGAAGTGTTATAAGTTTACTTTCATTTTAATTTTGATGTACTTCTACGTATTTATTATTCTGGAATTTTATTCGAAATATATGTAAGTATATAGAATATTTGATATATAGTTTTAATAATTATTTAATAATTATAAGTCAGTGGTGGCCTGGTGGTTAAAAGGCCCGCCTCTCATGCATGAGAGCGAGGATTCGATCCTGGCCCTGGCAAGTAGGTACCAATGTGATTTTTCCTAGTTATATGTACTTTCTAAAAGTATTTAGACATCACTGATTAATGCACTCCCGAAGAGGGTTGATGTCAGGCAGGCGGCCGGTCGTAAAAACAATTAGCCAAAACTATTCACAACCTTAAGGCAGACCTTATCTAAAGCTGGGAAACATTGCCAGGTAGAAGAATAGTGTTTATAATTACTATTTTATTTACAAAATTATATTATGAGACACTAAAGTAGAGTTCATTAAGAAAATATTTGACACTTTTCTTTAGGTTTCAGCAAAAACATATGAAGTGTATCGATAACATCAGCATAATCATTATTAATCATCTTCAAAACATCACGTGTAAACTGCATCCATAGACAGACCACTGTTTTTAATTCATGTATTTTCTTTATCGTAACAATGTAGCTCAACGTTTTTTGTAACAAACATGTAACAATGGCTTCCTTGATGAGTTTGCTTTGAGCTTCGAACGATGAGTTCTTAATTTCAAATACAAATCGAATAACACAGTCTCCTGCTCTTAATTTAAAGTACATTTTCGCTTGTTATTAATAGTTTACGTGGGCATGGGTAAATAAATCCGGAAAGTTTAATGCAAAACTTTTGGTTTACGCTTTATGGTAAATATTTAGTGTACGTCGTATAACTGTTTTATAGATCTATGTTTGGTTTAATTGTGCTAGGTCAAGAGCGCGCGTTCGACAACCGTCCTTGCGATAGATAAATATTATTGTCTAAGCGGGTTTTCCTCTGTTTAGTGTTTGTATAAATTTGTGAGGCATTCAGGCAGCGGTAGCCAGCATAACAACAAGAAGCTCATCAACTGGGGTTAGGAAATTTTCAAGATTTTTTATCTTGAGAGGCATATTATTTGGCAATTGTAAAAAAATATCATATCTTCAACTTTTTATTTCATAGCATAAACCTTTATAACTATATTTATTTTTAAAGTTTATTCATTTAATGATATTCTATTAGACACATTCGTGCCTTATAAAATTATAAGCTAAGTAATTTGAATGGGAGTGGGTGTCAGAAGATATTGTGGACAGACTTAGTACAGGGAGTGCGGGGCGCGGCAATGGGCGGCGCGGGCGCATGCTGGCGATCTCTGACGTCTTGTGGGCGGCACATTCACTGTTCGCCGGCTCGCGTACCGACGCGCACGTATGAAGACCGAAGAGCAAACCACCGAAGAGGCGGCGCGCCGTGCGCCTGCCACACGCCGCCAAGAAAAACCACCATTTTCCTACATAGCCCTTATCGTCATGGCAATACGACATTCACCAAATAAGCGTCTAACGCTAAGCGAAATTTATGCCTTTCTACAGCAGCAATTTCCTTTTTTTCGTAGTTCTTATCAAGGCTGGAAGAATTCGGTTCGGCACAATCTTAGCCTTAACGAGTGCTTTGTCAAGCTTCCAAAAGGGCTGGGGAGACCAGGAAAAGGCCATTATTGGACAATCGATCCTTCATCGGAATTTATGTTTGAGGAAGGTTCTTTTAGGCGACGTCCTCGCGGCTTTAGACGTAAATGTCAGGCTCTCAAACCACAATTTGGAGGTGGAGGTTATTTATGCGGCACTGGGGCTGGCGCACTTCCTCCAACACAACCTGCAAATTATGAGCTGGCCGGCGGTAGCGGTCCAAGCGCAAGTACAACAACATCCGTAGATTATGGCGCCTGTGCATATCCGCATTCGAGTGCCAGCCAGCAACTTACCTATGGAGGAGAATATTGTACCTACGGTGGTATGAGTGATCGTGAGTGGCCGTTAGCGTATGGACCAGTGGAATCAGCGTATCGACCACCTCCGCCGTCGCCAACATCTAGACATGATCTACCGGACCTCATACCAAACTATCAGTATGCCGTCGCCAATGATCACGGTAAGTGTTCTTTTACTCTTTATTCTTTTATATTAAGACTTTCTTGCCTACGCGAATTTATTTATATGGACATACACATGTTAAAAGTGTCATATTTATCTTACTTATTATAAATTTAAATAAGATGATGATGTTTCGGTTACAAATATATTAGTGTTTATTTCAATTCACTTTTATTTTTATGGGAAAACATTATGTTTAATATCGTTACTTTTATTGATTTTTACTGAGATAAAATGAAACAAGATAAGACTTTAAATTATTTAATCCTGACTACAGCCTTATAGTTTTAATTTATGCAGTTGTTGAACATCCTCTATGGTTAATAACATCTATGGCTTCAGTATACATCGGGTCAAGCGATATGAACCTAAGCTTGATGAATTTGCTTCGAAAAGTCCAGAAATACTTACGATTGTGCAAAAATACACTTAAGAGGTTTGAAGCCAATTATTGCTGTATGAATATTTATAAATAAATAAACATATAATAACAGGGTAATGTCATATTACTTTTACGGTTCAAACTAAGATTGTATCACTGAAAGTATTTATGATAAATATATAATGAAAATATTAATTATGTTATTATAGGGGAAGGCATTTTATAAAAAAAAACACAATATAAAAACTTATAAGTATTATTTTCAAGTCAATGCCTATACACCTTTTTAAAATTAACGATAGGTACTTTTATCGGGCTGAAGTAGGTATAATGGATTTCTCCTAGTGAAGTGTTGACAGCGAGCCCTGTGTTTCATCAAATGCTTGCATGCGAGTTGAATTATCGTTACCGTTCACTACCTATTAACAGTAGCTTGTTGAGTGTTGGGACCGTTTAAGATGATCTTGAGATAAGCGTTGACGTATAGGTTCCAGTAAATCATACAACTTATATACACTTCAAATGAATTAAAATATTTTTACTTATTTAAATGAGTAATACAAAGTAATGTTGAATTGAGTGTTCTGTATGTAGAAGATTTTTTTACTTTTGCTTTTCTCTCACAAGACTGCTTTCTTGAGGATTTCATTTTAAAATAAATTTGTTTTTAAAGTTTTCTTGCTCCTCAAAAAGTTAAATAAAAAATATATAAATAAATACTTATTTTGTTGTTGTTTTTTTTTATTTCTTTGCTTTAACATTAGATAACAATGCTATGTGAACAATAATAAGTAAATTGAAATCAAACAAATTAGGATTAGAACTAATTAGGACTTTATAATATTACATTAATTGTGTAAATTTGTTATGAAGCATATTTTTTAAAATATTTAATATCTTGATGGCAAATTTTCTGAAAGACATTTGCGACATTGTAAATGGTATAGATGAGTACGACAAATATGGCAGGAAAATATACCCCTTGTAGTAATCTGTGTTCCTGGTAACGGGCACGAATTTTGCACGTTGCCGATACTTTGATTTTTTTTTATCCCACAAATAGAAAAGACGCTGCTTATATTTGAACTATTTTTTACTTACCTAGTTAATTTTACTTGTAAAGTAAAAGTGGTTTTGGTTACGTTTTTTTGGTTACTTGGATTAGATTTAATTTTAATTTAAGATTCGTTTTATTTTGTTTTAATAAATTCAAAAAATAAGTAATTAAAAACACTAAATGAGCCTAGGTTAGGTTGTAACACCAGGCTATCAGTAAAGTTAAGAGATCAAATTGTGGAACTTGCCTGAATGTCTGAGTGGGACAGGTGATAGTTTGTAAAAGCTCAGTGACAGATCAATACGAAACGATTCACTCATTGCCTGTGTGCATAATGAAACAAGGAAACTTTACGAGTCCTGTAAAAATATTATTTAGATTTTAGGTCATATCTTATAAACAATCAGCTGTTGCCATAAAATATAAAACTACCATAAGTATATACCTACTTATTAATTATTGTGGTTTTATCAATATTCATATCATCTTATATATAAAATTCTCGTGTCGCGGTGTTAGACAGAAAACTCCTTTGAAACAGCTGGACTGATTTTGAAGAAATTTTGTGAGCATATTGAGTAGGTCTGTAAATCGAACGACATCTATTTTTCATACCCCTAAGTCATAAGAGTTATTCATCTTTTTTTTTCAAATGAAACTTTTTGTTTTTATTTTTTTATAATGTACCTACCTTGCATAAAAAAATACATACAACCCAAAATTTTTACTTTTTTATCACCAACCCCTATTTTTTATATGGCAAAACAACGTGCCGGGTCAGCTGGTATAGTACATATGTGTATATGTAATTACAAATTTTTGATGTAAAGATTGAGTATATTGAAGAACGTACGTTTAAAAAATTAAAAATACTTAATATATATTTTTTGAATGAGTATGCTATGCTAAACTATCAAACAAACGGATCAAACTATAAAACTTATAATCTTAGAGATTGTGAAAAAGAAGCGTAGATTTTATTTTTAATACAAGTACACCTGTAACATTTATATGAGAAACAGACTAATAATTTATAATATATTGGTGCAAACGTTTGTAGTGATTCGGGAATGACTTTGAAAAGTAACGGAATAAGACTTTCTGTTTATTTTAACACTAAATAAATATACATACGGAGGTTTGAGAAAAGTAATTCCCAGAATAAGATTTTTCATGCAGTCATTTCTTATTTTATTATAGAGATGAAGTCAAAACTTCATCAAGTTAATGGGATCAGATACGTAGTAAACTGAATTTGAATGTAAATATGTCTTCGTAGTAAAATACACATAACAGATATACCTCATATGTATTTTGGATCATGGAAACTAAAACTAGTACGCGAGATGTTTGTCAGATGGCGTTTTGAATAAAACTCTTTCACTTTTTAGTAAAGTTGTTAAATTATTAAATAACAATAATATCGTAATAATTTGTTTACATATGTTTTTATTTTTCATTTTTATAAATAACATGATTAAAATTTGTCTTCGTTCTTCGAGTGAGTTCGACTTTAAAAATTATTTTTGTAATACATTTAAGAAGAAAGTAAATTTATTTCTGTGTAACCTATTACAAATTTGCGTATTTAATGAAAGCGTCCATTTTTTATCATATATTTCTAGTAAATACCAAGTGTACCTATTAAGTTATTCCTACTTGATATTGGTGAACACTCTTTACGGGATTATCGTTCTTTTTTAGTTTAGTAGCTTAACAGAGAGTGTATTTATATAAAGGATTTTTCACGCTTTCCTTCTAACTTTGTGAAAATTAACACTTAAAAATTTATTCATTTTTGCATTTCTTCATAAAATCGCTTTAGGTTTTGAGAAAGGTTATTTAGTTTCCAATAAAGAAAGTTGTTCTATCTGTCTATCACTACAGGAAATTTTATATACTACATAGATACTTTAGTTAATTTAAAAATTCTAGGCTTAATTTAGTTACAGTTATTTAAAAAAAAACTAATGACATATTAATGGTAACAGTAAGTAGTTATAGATTTAATGACCTATATTTCAGTGTAGGTATTTCCAAAAATATTTGGAGGTTCTTGAAACAAATCATTCTTTCTGTAGATAAATCATGGTTATGACTACTAGGGTTGCATTGAAGTTTTAGGTTTTATGATTTTAATTATTTTTGAAGTATAATTTCTTTACGCATATTTCTTGACTTGGGATTAAGCTGGTGAATACGTGACGAAAGCGATTACGTATTGATCGAGTGAAATAAGTTTTACTTTAGTCGCATTCGTTTTTGATTTTTTTGTTTTAATCCTTTTTTATATTTAACCAATAAAATGGATTGCTTTATTTTATATCTATTCTTCCTTATATGTATATAAAAAATATATATTTAAAAAATAAGACTATGTTTTCATTGCATACGTACTCTGGGTTATAAAATAATTTCTAATTTGGCATTGTTGAAGTCAAAATAACGTTGTGTTTTATCAATCAACCTTTTTTCATTTATACGGCCATGGTATCAGAGAAACACTAACATTAAAAAAGATTAACCAATAAATTAACCGGTCGTTGGTGGTGATGGGGCAGATTTTAAATTAAATTTCAAATGTGTCGTCGTTGTTAAAATAAGATAAGTATATATACAATACATGTAGAGGGCTACCAGGAATCCATAACAAGAGAGAGACTTTGTGCATTCAATCAACAGTTGGTTGTGCATTTTACATACAAGACAAGGGATGGATAAGAGTTTTTAATAATTTTTTCCTACTTTGATTAAAAACAAAGTACAATCGACAGCTATTGAATCAAATTGTTTCCCTAACAAATTAATTTTATCAGTTTTTTTTATAAGGACATATTTATTGTGTAAAGAAGTGTAGATTGTGCAAGCATAGTGCATGTACATATAGTGCGTGTATAGTGCATGCAAGCATTTTATACCACAAAAAACCATAAAGGTTCTTGTATCAATTAAGTATGGTCTTCTTCGTTCATACTTATAACAATTTATGTAAAATTTAAGAATTATTATTATATCTCCAAAATTTATTGCTTTCATAGGGGCGGGTACACAATAACGAGAAAATAGATGTCGATATCCTTTTTACTCAAATATCCTTCTGGAGCCAGAGTGAGAAGTGATATCCAAATCAATATAGAGGTGGAGTTTCAATTGGCCAGTCCCAAAATATAGCGTCATTGCGCACGGAAGGAAATTTCGAAGGATTTTATTGTCCTGACAGCACTTTTTAAGAGTATTTTTTTTTAAACGCGTATCGTTTCTTTGATTTTAATAATATAATAATTTCAAAGTATTGTATAAATGCTTACCTTTATAAAAATTTAGAAGAAAAAAATCATTTTGGTAGGTAGAAAAGGTATACCTACTGTAGTGCGCGTGTAACACATCTACCTCTTCTCACCTTCTGAACTCCTAATACGCTACCATCGCAGTTACCATACCTTTACCACGTTTTATTTTTTTGTTTGGTGAATAGATAAGAAATGTTCTTTTTAAAACTCTTTAAATTAAATTTAGCTTGGGATATATGTCTGTATGTATGTAGGTATGTAACGAAATCTTTGAGCACGATTTTAACCGGTTTCTTAACATCTGACTAACTTGAAACTTTGCATATGTCTCAAGGACCAATGACAATGCAATAATTCGTTAAAATTTTTCCATTATCCTTGTTAGGGCCGCCAGAATTAATATATATTAAGCCGACTCTTAAAAATGACGAAACTAACCTTAATTAGACCAGACTTATCTTAAATAATTTTAACTATTTATTATTAATAAAAGAAAACAAATCACCAATTACTTATTTAATGAAATTTAATATACTAACAGAATAAAATAATTAATAACCAAAACAACTTAAATTCAA